CCCCAAAACCCCAAAACCCCAAAACCCCATAAGACCATTTTTATAGTGTAAGCAAGAAATTTAATTGTGAATAATAATAATGACATTTAAATTTATTAGCTAAAAATTTAGAGTTAATCTATTTAAGAAATATTTATTAAAAGATTAAATATAAATTTGACATAATACTCCTATTAAATATGCTTGAATTCATTTAGAAAGCGGATCGATATGGTGAAACTGTGGGCTTTAAATATAGAGGGAGAAATTAGCATTAAACCGTCCTAGGAGGGACTTTTACATTATTACAAATGAGCTGGGTCTCAACATTCTTTATAATACTGCTTTCTAGAGTTATTGACAAAGAATATTAAATTCGCATAAAAAGTACCTATAAAAGTGCACTAAATGATATGCAATCTTATTAAATAAATCTTCAAAATTTCGATATTGCTTTTGGAGTAAGGTACCAACGTATAGACAATAGTCAAAGTATCTAGAATGTTAGTATTAGTTGATACTTAAATATAACTTTTGGTGAATTCGTACAGGATTACAAAGCTAGTAATATCCAAGGAACTGATTCCTTATTCAGCAATTAAACTGTTATTTAAAGCAAAGCCTGTTCATCTGAAAGGTTTTTGGGAATGGAAAATGATATTAATTAAATCGGTTTGACTGAAAATAACTGGGTCTGTATATCAGATTTTAAACTTTCTGTGGAGGGATAAGACATGAGTCTAATCAAAAAATCCCTAAATTTAAAAGTTGAACTTTGCTAAAATACCTCTTTACCATAAACTGGAATAGAAAATTCACCAGCTAAAATAGTATGTGCATCACCTGAAGAAATATGAGAATTTGTAAATAAAGTTTAATTCATGGTAGCATATGTGAACAAGGATCATGACGCAGACGATTTTAATCATTCAGTTAAGAAAGAAATAAACATTTAGTTCTATAATCCAGTTTTCGGCTTTAACTAAATAGCCATACTTAACTTGTAATCGAACGATTTGAATGTTAAAGACAGCCCATTAATGGACATTTTTAGCATGAAATAATACAATTTCTTCAAAGTTGTAAGCCAAGGTACTTAATATGCTACTTGGCTTCATGGTTATCAAGAGCTATTTAACCTATATCTTGTTTGTGATGATAAGGAAATTAATATAGAGCAAACAGTATATACTGTTGTTAATATCTTTACAACTATCGGTGGCTATAACAATTTCTTAATTTTGTTCTATAGAGTCTTAAGTTCTACTTATAAGAGATAAGCATTCTATTGGGATCTAATGTGTAATTTGTTTTATTTCCACAAGAATAACAAGAAATCTTAACATGAAGAGGTAGAGAAGACAAATAAATTTAACAAGAAAATACTTAAAAATGAGATTAAGAATAGAGTCTAAGAGATTAAATATAGTGGAATGTGAGACATTTTCTGATTCTTTTGTGCTAAATTCTAGAGAAAAAATTATATTGCAAACTTCAATTACTACCAAAATGGTTCTAAAAAGTTAGATAAGTTTTTAGATATTGGTTACATTATAAAAGTTATCAAGCAGACTTAGATGGCTGCAAAACTTTTGCTTAATTAAAGTCAATATGCAAGTTTAATATATATGAGCTATAACACCATTCATCCTGACAAAACAAATTACTAACGTCAAAAAGTTTTATAAGGAATTAGAAGACAGAACTGTTTAGATATAAATCAAACTATGAGTAAGATGAAAACACATTTAGATAGACTTTCTATTCATTACGAAAGACATATTGATAAAACTATCGTAAATAATATTTGTCAACTAAGATAAAGACGGACTCTGAAATCAACAGATTAATCAAAATCTAATAAGCTAGAGTTATCCGATAGAACTTTGCTTATAGGTATAGAAGAAGAGGATTAATTCTAATCTGCTACAACAAGGAAGGAGGAAACATTAACGAATATCAAAGCAATAGATAAAAAGAACAAAGGCTTAAAAATAGTTAAAAGAAATAAACCGAGAAAATCTTCTAAAGCCTTTTCTGATGCAGTATCACCGTTTTACTCTGCCCCGAGATCGAAAGAGAAATCATAAATAAATCAAAATATTGAAAGTTCTAAATAAAAAGTATCAAAAGACACTTGATT